CATTATTTCCACATACAAATACATGTATTCAATTAATTATATATGTACGTTTCGGCACCATCTCTATTAATAAGATGCATAAATGTTTGAAATTAATTGCATATTCATAAATTCAAACAGGACTTAATTTTAATCAAGGATGCTTTTTCATGCACGTTTCGCCCAAGTTGATGGTTTATCAATTACCATCCTAAGTTTATTGGAAGTGAACTAATGGTAATGACAAGCTTGAACAATAATGTTTCGGATCCATTTGGAATATGTGGTCGGATGAGTCATAAGTCATGACATGAGCAATAGTAGGAGTGAGTAAAAATTGGTTGAAATTGATTTGATCTATCGAAATTGATGAAAAATAATTAATTTGGTTTAAGTAATTTGGTTTTGATTATAGTAGATTTTTAGTTTACAAAATTGATAATCAAATCGACTGAATTAATTAATTTTTTTATAAGTAAGGGTAAATAAATTGAGATGAATAGTTTTTTTTTTTTTTTTTTTTTGTAAAATGTTATTGAAATTATTAAATTTTTTAATAATTTAATTTAAATTATACTTAAATTTAAATTTTATTAAATATAATTTTTCATAATAAGAGAAAAAAATTAATTATTTAATTATTTAATTGAATAGATCAAATCAAATTAATTTTAATAGATTCGATTATGATTGATTATTTAAAAATTTTTAATTAATTAAATTATTTATTAAATAAAAATCGATTAATTTAATTATTAATTTTTTAAATTAAATTTAATCAAACCGATCAATTAATTACCCTCAAACAATAGATTCCCAAATCTGAAGAGAGAGAGAGAGAGAGAGAGAGAGAGAGAAAACATTCCACGATGACAAGAAGACAAGCAAGAAAATCCGAAGGATTGACGGGCGTGAATTACTCTCCTTTTTGCATCAATTAATGGAAAGTGACCATGCTGTCTTAACATGAGATAGTCTGATCAGCTAGACCGACCCAAACTTTGTTTCTCACATTTGATAATTAGGTAGAACAGATACGATGATGCCCCCTTTGTCTTTTGTAATGGCAGCACCATAATCCATATATGCAAGTTGGAAATTGCTTTTTTACATTTTAACTCCTTTTATTTCTAATCACAAATATATGGTTGAAGTAGCAGAGATGATTTCATATAAAAATATATTTGATAAAATTTTTTAAATAAAATTCGTAAAATTTTTTATTGAATTCGATTAAGTAAAAATTAAAATTAAAAAATTTTATTATATAGATCAAATTTGAAAATTATGATATATATTATAAATAAATATTTTTAATAAAAATTTTGATAAAATTATTATAATTAAATAAGTATGATCAAATTTTAATTATAAAATATATTTTTAATAAAATTTTTATATATTATTAATTTTTTTATTAAATTTTATCAATTTATTAATTCATATTTTTTATTAAATTATTTTAATAAAAAAATTCAAAAACTTTATTCAAAAACTTAATGTAAGTTTCTTATCGGAGATCAAGTATGAATGTAACCGGATGACTGTCAGAAATGAAATTATGAAATGGCAAGAACCTGTCACCATCGTACTTTGACTCTTACAGCGCCAAACATTGTCGCAAGTGTGTCCTGGCACGCGCGCACGCCGCGTGGCCCCCAGGTTGACTCATTTGTCTCTTCTCGTCTCTTTCCGTCGTCTTTGGTCACATTATCTTATGTAAGCATGACATCAAATTCTCTCTCTCTCTCACAAAGCTCAATTCATTGGCGGTTTGTAAAGTTAACAAGTTAGTTAAAAAGCCAAAGAATTTTTACCGAACTGTTCTTAAAAAAAAAAATAATTAGGCCCTAAGCATATCAAAAGTGTGGAATAATGGAAAGTGGCACATCTGCATCTTAATTATTATATTGACATACATTATTATATAATTCTTCTTCTTTTCTTATTTTACTAGTATGTATTTGATTCATATAGTTTTTATATTCTTTCCTTTCCATTTTTTTAGGATATTTTAAAATTATATATATTTTAATATTCTATATTTTTATTTTTTTATATTTTAAAATTATTTTTTAATATTTTTTATTTTTTGTTATTAAAAATCATGAAACTTTAATTTTATAAAAATAATTTAAATTTTAATATTAAATATATTAAAATTAAAATTTTTTTCAACTTCATGAAAATTAATAACACTCAAATAATTTGTGACAGAGTGAGTATATTTTTATGGATTAAAAAAGAATGGAAATCTAATTAAGAACTTGATCATTATTAACGAGTAATTATCAAGTAAGTGTAAAAAATAAAAGAAAAAAAAAAAATCTCATGTTGTGAAATCTTAAGATGTGGGAGCATAGTTGCCCTTTTGCTTAATTTCAAGACCCATTTATCCATTGGCTGTGGGAGCAAATATAGTATATTAATAGCAAAACCCAAAGCAAAATAATTAATCAAATGGGATTGGACCTTAGCCTTGACTAATGTCTTGGTAGGATTAAAACTTTCACAATTTAATTTGTTTTTCCCTTTGACTGCCCAAAATGAAAAGTTTACTTGTATAGCATTCGACCCATGTTCCAACAAAGTCAACATTAGGCGACACTCCATATAAAAGATTATTGCCAAGATCCTAATTAAGATCAATCACCATGGAACTTTACTTTATTTGATTGTTTATGAAATTTATTAAGATATATAACCCCACGTCTATCAAAATTGACCAAAATCATTGGTTGAAAGTTTGATTCATGGATTATGACTTGATGAAGTATCAATGTCAAGCAAGTTTAGAAGAGTTGAAACTTGAAATTAAACCAAAAAAAAAAAGTCTCTTTCCTTGTATTTTTAGAGAAAATTAGACCTAACTTACCTTCTAATTCTTCAAAAGTCAACTATTTTCCACAATTTCATTGCTTTTTTTTTTTTTTTTAAGATCTAATCAGCTTTACCATAATCAATAAATTCAATTAATTAATCCCAATAAGTAAACTCTTTATAAGAATTTAACTACTAATAAAAATTGCAGGTGAAATATTTTATATAATTAAATATTTAAATTTGAATTTTTTTTTTGGACTCATGACCAAAGACATTAATGATTTGATTTTCCTTTGGTGATTCGTTTTACAAGTGCACTTATTCAATTTATTCAAAATCCATTTGAATGTGTGATAGGAAAATTGACACCACATCGCAAATATCATTTTATTCACTGAATCTTTAAAGATTTAATCATAAAACATAACTACGGCTCGGTGAATTCCTCACACCACGCAATCAAATGGACCCCCAATCGATGGCAAACAAAGTTGTTGACTTTAAGGTGTTGATAAGGAATTTTTACAAAATCACAATCTCTTTATATGGAAGAAATTAGGCGGCATGGTGTTGTTTTTGGTCATCTACGTTTGTTGACCCATTAACTTACTCTCCCATTTTGGCATTTTTTATTTTGTTGCTTTCGTTAAACATGGATATTTTCCATTTATGGAGGAAACTCGATCTTGATTTTGTTAAAAATAATTCCGTGTACAAGAAAAATAAATGCTGGCAGTCCTTCTAGGTAATTTCCTTTTCTATTTCAGACTTATCAAACAAACAATAATTTTCCATTTTCTCCTTGGGATTTTTCATCTTGTTTCTTTCCTTTCTTTAATTTCCATCTTGTAAAAATTTCGGAACGTAAATTCATTTGCCATTCTACATATGTAAATGATACAAGAGCACTAGTTAACCAAATACTTTAATAAATAAGATTTGAATTAAAGTAAACATTTAAACCTTAATCATTAATTGAAAGTATCCCATGAAAAGTTTTAAGGGGACGTTTGATTTGGAGAAGAGTAAAATTTTTTATCGAAATCTTACTTTTTGTAATTTAATTTTTTAATTTAGTTTATGAAATTTGATTCTTAAAGTTTTCTAAATTGCTAACAGTATGAAGAAGGGAGAATAAAAAAAATCTTTTTTTTAAGGTTTTTTAGATTTTGGAGAAGAAGATAAATTTTTTCTTTTTTTTTTATTTAATCGTATTTTCGGATGACATAAATAATAGTATTTATCTTAGAAATATAATAATTTTATATTTTACTTTTTATAGTTTTGACAATGATGAAATTTTTAAGATTAAAAATGCAATTTTTATTTAAAATATGTAAAAAATTATTTTTCATAATTTAACAAAAAAGATATTTTTAAGATAAAAATATTTTTTTTGAAAATAAAAAAATTATATTTTAAAATTCAATAAATACAATATTTCTTAGATAAAAACATAATTTTTGTTGAAAATTATAAAAAATTATTTTTAAGAATTTAACAAAAAATATATTTTAAGATAAAAAATGTAAATTTTGTTAAAAATATGAAAAACATTTACTTTTTAGAATTTAATAAAAACAGTATTTTTAAAATAAAAAATACAATATTTCTTGAAAATATAAAAATTTATTTTTTAAAATTCAACGAAAACAATGTTTTTATGATAAAAATATGATTCTTGTTGAAAATATGAAAAAAAAAAATTTTTTTGAAATTTTTTAGCTTCAACAAAGTTAAGGTGTTTGTTTGAATATTTCTTTTAAATTTTTTTTATATTTTTAAAAATAAAACCCAATAACCCCTTAAAAAAAGTTTTGTCACAAATTTTTTAATCAAGACTATTTTCCAATTTAATGAAAGTGACAGTCACGCGCATTCACAACGCGCTATTGGCTGCCTCAAAAATATAGTAAACGCTTCGAAGCTTTCTTTTTGGCAGTAGTCCAAAGCTTTACATTCAACCCAATATCAACGGTCCGATTACAAACAATTTGGGTCCATAACACTGACGTGGCAGTCAGATCAAACACCATCATCATCGTCATATGCCCACATCCTTTATTCATAAGAACAACGAGTTAATTTTTAAAACAATTACAATTTTTTTTTTTTTTATAAAATTCGATTCAAAATGCTTTCGTCCAATCATCCCTTGAAATGTCAACCACAGTCAGGTAATTTCTTTTACACTAATCCATACTCTTGAACTGTTTCATATACAAATTACACATCTCTACCACACTGGTAATCCTGTCATGTATAAATAACGTAACTCTCAAGGCGAGAGAGCTCTCAGCCAAGACAAGAAACAAAAAAAAAAAAAAAAAGACTTCAAATTTTTTACCATGGCAGAAGAATTTCATTCCGGGATTTGTGGATGGACATGGTGGAATTCGTCGAAAACCATGTTCTCAGGGTGTTCTTCGCCGTGTTCTACGGGGATTGTTGACATGGGAAGCTGCGGATGGGCTACTGATATGGTGGATATCAAGGCAAGGTCTTGTGATCAGGAATCTAACAACTCGGTTTCTGATCATAGCTCTATAGTTTTCCAGGGTGCTCATCATCAAAAGCCTCAGCAAGCAGATGCTGATAGTGGTGGCAGCTGTATTTTGATTGATTCTACCTTACAAATGATGGGTTTCGGCCTTTCATCATCGACAACATCGGATTGGAACCAATCTTTGCTGTAAGTTTTATCTGTCATAATGATAACTGGTATATGAGCATGAATTTTTAAGGTTGAAGTTCAAATAAAAGAAGACCTTATCGTCCAAAGCTTCAACCACAAGTTAGAAACAAGAATATTTATACTTTGTGGTTTTCCTTGAACAATCCATTAAAAATACTTAATTATTTGATTAAAATTCTCCATATCAACTGAATATATACTTTCTGTTTTTTTTATCATCCTTGCCTGCAGTACTCAGAATAATGGGAGACCTGAGAGTTATAATTCAGTTCTTCAAGAAGATATTAATTCAAGGTTGAGTTATCGGCAAGAACCAGGCATGGATTCTTCTCAAATCCAAACGGATTGGAGTCCAAAGAGATACACAAGCCCCGAAGAAGATTCTTCCATTACTACTTTCAAGCCTATCAATCAAGATTTTTCATTGGACCAGCAGACATTGAATTCTATAACCAGCTCCGATAACAGTACACCAACCTGTCAGGGCTTATCAGCTGGGTTTCCAATGGATTCAGCATCATATGGCTGCCCATCAACACTGTTACAAAGTTTGTTTGAACCTGATCTTCAACCTCAACAACATTCACTTTTCAACAACCGGTCAATCAACTATATGTCTGCCACATCCACTTTTGGGGCAAACGGTAATGAATTATCACCTTCGTGGCCAAAACTAGCTCCTTTCATAAGGCCATCGTTGCCGAAGCAGCAGCCCAGTAGTTTGCACTTCTCCAACAACACGCCCTTTTGGAACGCCTCTGCCACAGGCATAAACGACGTTAAAGCCGGGTTTTTACCCTCGCCGCAATCACAATTTCTTGTACAAACGCTTGAAGAGAAACCTAATTGCCCCAGCCTCACGACAAAGGTAAATAAATAAAGTTTGATGACACATTTAAAAGTACTTCTTCATGTTCATGCCTTGGATCCAGGCTAGGGTTTCTGTGACAATTTTGATATATTTATTTTATGTTACGGATCGGTATTACAGACTAACGCCGAAGAAATTAGAAACTCGGGGACGTCAGCGATGAAGAAAGGAAGCAGTGAACCTCCATTTAAAAGGACAAGAATTGAAACGCCATCGCCATTACCAACTTTTAAGGTACTACAATATAAATTTAACCAAGTTTCTTTACTGGTGGGATCTTCGAGCTTTTTCCTTCCAAGCAAAGCAAGTGATCGTTTATTCAAAGAATTAGATAATAGTTTACAGCAATTTTTATCAGGTTCGGAAAGAGAAGATAGGGGACCGAATCACTGCGCTCCAGCAATTAGTTTCACCTTTCGGAAAGGTGAATTTTTGGATTTTTCTTCTACTATACTTTTTCTTAATTTTTGTTTTTTCTTTCAAATTTTCAAAGATTATATAATTGAAAGCTTTATTTTTTGTCTTGGCCTTTGGGTTAATGTGTACCTTACCTTTTTCTCAGACTGATACTGCTTCTGTTCTGCAAGAAGCTATTGAATACATCAAGTTCCTCCATGATCAAGTCAGTGTATGTTCCACTATCTTCTTCTTTTTATTCCTTTTCATTTTTTAATATAAGATGAAGATAAAGCTAATATCTAGATGATTCTGAATTGGATTGAAAAAATGTTATTTTTACGTAATTTCAGGTTTTAAGTACTCCATATATGAAACAAGCAGCAGCTTCCATACAACAACTACAGGTATATACATATATATATATATATATATATCAATGACTGATGATAACTGGTCATCTTTTTCAGTCTGCAAATAATAACTACCAATTGCTATTTGAATAATGCAGTAATTGTCTTATTCTGATTTTGAACAATTCTGCACTCTCTTTTTTTTCTTGCAGAGTACTGATAAGTTGAAAGACCCAGAAGGGCCAAAGCAAGATCTAAGAAGCCGGGGGCTTTGTTTGGTGCCAATCTCGAGCACATTCCCCGTTGCTAATGAGACCACAGCTGATTTTTGGACGCCAAAATTTGGTGGAACTTTCAGGTAGAGAGAAAGACAATTAATAAAACTAAAGCGAGTTGTACAACAACTACTGTAGTATTAGTTACTTACCAGCTCCGAGTCCGGCCATAACTTCAATTCAGAATGTGGAAAAAGAAAAGATAATGGAAAACTTAGAAGGCTATACATTGCTTTACTGTACCAGTAGTCTTGATAGACCTAGTGTGTTGGACAGAAACGAGCATAGTGTGTTGGAGTACTGCTGGGCCAGCTACAACAGCAAATGAGTAGGAACCCAACCCTCGAAGGATTAAAAAAAAAAAAAAGGACGATAAACATAGGGTTTTTTTTTTTTTTTTTTTTGCTTTCAATAATCCAAGTATTACTTATTAGTTATAGTTGGAGGAGATCAGCAACGGGAACAAGTGCTAAATTCAGCGAAAATCGACATGAATTACCTAATATAATATATATATATACTTAGATTATTTATTTTGTTGTTGTTTGTTGATGTTAGTAGCTGAATTTAGCAGATGGGGATTACAGAGACCCTTTTGTTCCTGTTGAGTATTTCTATATAGGCAGCCACCCCTTTTGTCATCAAATTTACTAAAGGACAGAAAATAAATGAAGAGATTATTGTATCTGAATTTCAGAAGACTGATTAGGAATGAGTGGAGCTCATTTGATTGGGGTTTCAACTTTTTTAATTTTTCTTCTTGTATTCTTTCTTCTCAATTTATGTTCTTGTTTTACTTTTACACAATAAAAAGAATTTTAATTTTTATGAATTTAATATTTTAAATTTATTTTTCTAAATAATAAATTTTAAATATAAAAACAAGAGTACAAAATATATAAAAATAAAAAAAAAACCTTTATTTTCAGACTTTTTAAAAGTAAATTATGAAAAAGAATATAATAGTTTTGGAATGTGGTAGTGGCAGTCAGAGGGCGGCCCACTGTTCTTGCTTTTAGGGTTTCTTCATTATTTTGCTTGAGAGAGAAAGACAACTCTCTTCAATTCTTCATTTGTGCTTGAGTGTGCGCGTGGCTCTTTGAGCTTTAAGATTTTATCTTATTGGGGAGCAGAAATCATGCTTTTGTCTTGGGATAACAGCCACTGGCCTTTGGCCACAATGGGGTGAAATATATTCATACATATTAACTACAATGTGATAAAATTTATATGAAATTTTAGGAGAAAAGTTCGTAATTTTTTTTAAAAAAAATAAATAAATAAAATTTTTAATAAAAAAATTTAAATCTATAGATTAATAAAATTTAAAGTAAAAATTAATAATATATAAAAAAATTATTTATAATTCAAATTTAATTGATATTTATTTAATGATAAAAATTTTATCAATATTTTTATTAAAAATACTTATTTAATAAATTTATTAAAATTTTTTTTCAAATTTTACGTATTTGATCTATGTGATGAAATCTTTCAATTTATATTTTTGACTTTTGATTTTAATTTTTACTTATTTTTAATAAAAATTTTCATAAACTTTACTTATGAAATTTTATGGAGGTCTTTTTTCTAAGGGTAAAAGCCAAGACTCCAACTGCTCTATCTTACAATCATCTATTTCCAAAGCAATGGTGGTCTTTTTTTTTTTTTTTTATTTGCTCAAATAATTAACAAGCTCTTAAAAACCTAGGATCCTTAATTTTTGTGTTGTTATGGCACTAGATATACTTATGAAATGTATTACTTTTGACATGTTTAATGTGTACAAAAGTAATTGAATGTTCCTAAAAGTTGTAATTAAGTTAATTATCCTTTGATCACTGCTAAAACTTGCTTAACCCATAATTATCACTTTCTAATCATTAGAATTTTGTGCCAGCTCCACTGTTGAATGCCATAACTTTTCTTGACAAGCAATATGGAATTTTCAGCAACTTTATCCTCAATTAATAGGAGCAAGCATAATGCAATAGTAACCATAGTTTTTAAGGCAATAATAATATCCTTTGACATCTTTTAAAGATGTCACATATATTTTTATTATTTCAATCAATGTAAATTTTTTTTTCTTTTAGATATGATTAAGAAGATCCACTTTCTCTTTACTTACATGATATATGGATTTTTTTTTCTTTTATTCCTTTTTTTTTCCACTTTATCCTTACTATCCTTTCTTCATTATATTGAAAACTATTGCTAAAAAAAGAAATAAAAGGGAGTTGAACTACAATTACACAACTCAACTACTTTTCAATTAAGATGATAAAAATCAATAGAAAGAAGACAAGAAACCAAATTCTGAGACTTAGTTTAATTGATCCATATAATTATCCTGAAGAGATGATAGGTATCCAACAAATTTAAAATTTAAATTTTAATATCGATAATCTTTTATTTTATATTTAGATTACGAGCTACTTTATACCAAAAATAAGAAAAGGAAACAAATAACTTCAGATAATATTCAATATTGGAGAAGATAATATAAACAATAATCTCATTTGTTAAAAGCAATCTTGTAATCGTTTCAAAGTTCATTCACTTTTCGTGATCTTCTTTGCCCCTAATAGTATTTCGCATTAGACATGTAAGATAATATGAGAATCCATTAACCAGCCATTTGAAGTCATTATTTTCTCAAATTGTTGCTTTTCAATCTGATCCTAAATCTAATAACAAGATATTATTCAACCTTGTTAAGCAATGTCAAAGGGAGAGAAAAAAAATCAGAGAGAACGAAATAATAAAGGGCTAAATCAAGTATCCAAAACTCTCAAAGAAGCTTAATATTGAAGAATTGTGACAAGTAACCGATCATGACAAACAAAAAGTACTATAATTTTTCTTGATTTGTCTATGGTCTTGACTTCTGCTTTCTTTTATTAACTTTTGGTGACATGAAGCATCCGGATCATATCTTTTGTTAACTTTTATTCAATTCATATACATAATTTTATTTTTTGGTAGATAGGAGTCCAAGAAAATTGTGGAAGGAAAATTCATAAGTACCGGATATAATTGAACCCTAACCTTATTGAAAATCACTTTCTAAAAAAGATGGATGAATTATTTGAGTTAAACTTAGGTTAAATTCTTATACGTATTTGTTTTTGTCTTCGGGTTACTTAAATACAAAACCAGAAACATATAAAGGAATAGTAGAAAGGAAAAGCATCTAGGCATCATTGTTGATGTTAATAAAGTATATGTGGCCCAGCAGTGTATGATCTATCACTTTAGTAAAAATACTTCCTTTTTTCTTGTTTTGGCTAATCAAAGGAAAACTCAAACAATAGTGGTCTTCTACTACAAGTTTTTGCCTAGCTTGAAAAGGGTCATTTCTTTTCGCTCCTTTGAATCTAATCTTGTGCACCATTTACGAATCAAACCATGTGGCTTTTAATAGCCTTCCAAGAAAGCTGTTTTGTTACACCATTGTTATAGATTCTTTCAATGGATTTGATGGGAAAAAAGCTTTGTCGCCAACTTTTTCTTCTCTTGTTTTGTCAAGCATTTTGACCTCTCGGAAATGTTCCCATTTCAAAGGAGTTCTTTTTCTATTGTATGAGAATTTCGACCCCAAGTTGCATTAAAAGTTGAAGAGGGACAGCATTGTTATTATTCAAATATATCAAGAAAGTTGCGAAATGAAAGTTTGATCTAATCTATCATAGGAGTAGTCAAGATTCCATGGTTGAATTTTCCATCTCAATGTTATTTTCAGGGAAAAAGAAATTGAAAATGTGCAAAGATATTAACACTGACTTGATTTTCCATGTTTAAAAAAATGGCTTCACTTCATCATCATACCTGCCCATAAATTGAAAATGACCCACCACTCATCATCATATGTCTTCACTCTTATAGGCTTCTTTTCTTATGGATTTTGGAATCTGGCCTTTGGGTTGCTTGATATTTTGGTCCCCAAACTACACAGATGATGTTCAAAGAGGCAATTGGACTAGAAGATCGCTCCATCACAAAAAGTAATGGACCAGTGAATACCAGCTTTTTTGAGTCCCCAAACTCTATACTCGGTTTACTTTGAATTGGAAATATAATTTATTCATATTAAATTTGATATTTAAATCTTGATTATGAGCAATTTCAATATAATTTAGTTTGTTCAGGCATGAACCAATTCCACAATTAATGAATCATCGACTCTGACTTTTTTTTTTTTTTTAAATCCAGCCAATCAACAAATAAACTCGTTTTCACCCATAGTTGTAAGCAATTGTTTGGGCACGTTGAAAACATGATCAATTTGGCCTCCTCACTAGTTACACACTGGAAGGCAGGACCAGGTGATACCATTATCTTGAAACAGGATCAAATTCTTGAATGAGTTTGTAAGAGGAAAGAGGGAATAAAGTTCTGGTCCATGTTATGAAGCTGACAAACCTGTCACTCCAGTGGGAGTTCTTGTTTTTTGAAAGTCACTATGACCTTTTGCAATGGGCCAATGTAGGATCACTGATGGCATTGAATCTAAGTGAACTCTGAATCTTTTAAGGCAACTTGCAGCACAATGCATGGATTTTGGTTCTAAACGTTTAAATACAAAACAACTTCCAGTTGATCACTCCAGCTTATATCATTGCTTTACGATACGACTTGTCCCTTTGTCAAGCAAAAGACAAAGTTGAAATCAATGACGATTCACTACTCATGAATGAAACTTTCATCATTAACAATAAGCTAGTGTCTTGAAGGAACACTGTGAGTTTGTGATAACAAATCCATCCCAATCAAGCATATATATTATTCTGTGGAGATCAAAGATCTGGAACAAGTAAAAGTAAAGGAAAAAAACATGTTTATAGAGCTGATTACTAGTAGTTTTTATAAGTGAAAAAATCAAGCTGTTCCCTTGAGCTTCTTTGCAATGCCAGCGAAGTACTTCCCCTGGTGAAAAGCCTGCTCTAGCTCTAGCTCAGATGGCTGTCTCGAGCCATCCCCAGCAAAAGTTCCTGCACCATAAGGGCTCCCACCCTTCACCTTCTCCATCTCAAACATACCAGCACCAAAGGTATACCCAATGGGTACAAAAATCATTCCATGGTGAACAAGTTGAGTGATTGCAGTTAAGCTGCAAAATTTTCCAACAAGTAAAAATTAATAAAATTTATTTGAACTGGTATTTAATACTTCTACTATAGTTAAGGTGAAAATACTCACGGGGTAGTCTCTTGTCCACCACCTTGCGAGGCAGTGCTGTAGAAAATTCCAGCAGGTTTGCCTGCAAGCTTTTGTGCTCCCCATAGACCACCAGTTGCATCCATGAATGCTTTAAACTGAGCAGCCATCATCCCAAATTTAGTGGGAAAGCCAAAAAGCAGACCATCAGCCTCGGCAAGCTCATTGGGTGTAATGATAGGGGCATCAGTCTTTGGTGGCGCACCCATCTTCCCAAGAACTTCCTCTGGTAGTGTTTCAGGCACCTGTGAAGATAATGAAAGGGCATCAGTCTTGCGTTTCAATCTCAACTTGATTCAAGAAGATAACATTGTGAAGATAATCAAACCTGCCAGAGTTTGACTTCTACTCCCTCAACGGATGCAGCTCCTTTCTTAATCTCCTGTGCCAGCTTCTCAACATGTCCATACGTGGAATAGTAACTGCAACAAACACCCAAGTAATTTTTAAGTTACTACTCAACAAAATATATATAGTACTATTACTTTTGGTAGGTACGTTTCCTAACAATGCAACAGTTATAACAAGGAAAATTATCGATCAAAACCAATTACAATGGAGAAAGTTACACAGAACAAGTGCATATCAATGAAAGTGATTGATGGGACTACCTCTGTCAACAAGGGAAGAAAAATTGTGGGTGTTTTGTTTTCTATGTTGGCACGCATATAAACAGTTCTACAAATATAAATAATTTATTTCTAGATGAAAAGAAAAGGTGATCTTGACGTACTATTATATATAAGCTCATTTGCAAGCATTGGAAGCCATGAAAATGAAAGCCACTTTGTAAATTATATGCACAAAGAACTGGACTACAATAATAATGGATGATGGGACCAGATGCTTCAAAAGAAAAGAGGTAGCAAGTTTTCTCCAAATGATAATTTCAATGGTAGGTCATGTTTCACAATCACTTTATGTTGGTTTGTTGCTGGTTAACAGCATAATCCCCGTTAAATGTTCATTTTGATTTGCAATTCTTACTTTGATGATTGATCCGAGTTACTCGTATTAGGTAAAATTATGTATGATATCAACATAGATTAATAATCATTGAAAAAACAAAACAAAAATTTTATTCTCAAGGAGTTCCCATCACAAGTAAACCAAAAATGTTCAAAAGAAGCCTTTTCTTTTTCTCTTTTTTTTCCTTCATGGATTGAGTAAATAATTAACCAAAGTCACATTTCTACTGCATTTTCTTTCTGTTTCTTCCATGTCTAGTCTCATTAAGGCTGGATCATAATATATAGAAACTAAGAAGAAAAGAAAGCATCTCAGTTTTCATTTCTCATCAATTAAAAAAATACTTCTTAGATTTTCACAAAACTATTGTAAGAAAAAGATTGAATATAAAAAAAAAAAAAAGAAAAAAAAGAGATACAAATACGGATTCAAGCATAACTGTAAACAGAATCGAATCTGTTCAAACCAATATATCTCATAGTGAGAACCGATCTCTCATCAACAATACATAGTTGAAACTCTTTTTAACTTAAAAAAGAAAGACTAAGGTGAAGAAAAACAAGAAAGCATAAACTAAATTGTTAATGTAATCAATTTTAACAGAATTAATCACTAAAACAAAACCCCAGAACCAAAATTATCTGATTCATAAGAAAATATAGAATTTCATAACTTAATGGCTAAATGCAGAAGAAAAAATACAAGAAAAAACAGAGCAATGACAAGAAACAAAGAAAAAAATTCAACTGTGGCTACAAAACACAGAAACCCCAAAGAAACAAGATTAGAATTCTTACACAATGTAGACTTGGGTGGCCATTTTCTTCTTGGTTAACTTTGTTTTATGCTTTTGAAGGCAAAGGAGAAGCTTTTTTTTTGGGATGATGAAAATGTTCTCTTTTAAGTGTATAGGGAGGAGAGAACAGAGGGAGGCCTTTATTTATAGTGACATTTTAAGAAAAAGACTTTTTAATAATAAAAAAAACTTTTTAGTATTCTTCTGACCGTATGTGACAAGAACTCTTTTATGTTTACTTTGCTAAAAATTCAAAGCATTCAAACAAATATGATTGGTACATTGAAAGAAAGAGACTTAGAATATAAATTGTTTAGAAGAATAGCATTATGTTATTCAAGCATTTTGGATTTCAGTCCAATGAGAAATTTGAATCAAAAGAAAGAGAATTTGATTGAAAGAAATGTAAATTTGAATCAAATTTCTGTATAGTTGTTTTTTCTTAGAGGTTGAAAGAAAAAAAGAGAGAAGTGAGCATGAACTCTTTGTCTAGTAACAACAGACAAATGTGCAGTTCTATTATTAAAGGAAACGCCAACTCTTTCACCATCACCCTGGCAGTGGCAACCTTTCTATTGCACCTCTTTTCCCAATCAACCAGCCCATCAGAAAGGGATATCATACAATTTTTAGGCACAAGAGTCATATCTGTATGTCCTCATACATGATTTTATGTCAATAACTAAGCAACTTCTGTTATCATATGAACAAGATCTAAATTTTTACAGTAAAGATCCATTGCTTGACAGAGGTATTGGAGTTGATGCAACTGGTCTGATCTATTGGTTTACAGGGTCAAGATCAAGATCACCGACTTTACACTTTTACCAACTCAGAATTGTGGACAGTGTTGGATGGATGGTTATTTGGTGCAAGAAACCATAGTTATTTGCTTGCAAATATGTCTTGTAATCTCTGTAAGGAAATTAGAAAATTGTACCAGCTGTGTTTTGAATTCGGAATGGAAATTGCTGCAATGACTAATCTTGACTTTTAATCCTATACAGAAACAAGATTTTGTAATAGGTTTCTGTTGACTTCCAAGAGGAGATATACTGTTTACTCACCAACAATTTATGTCTAGAAGGATTGCAGCTATACATTCCTTAAAGGATATAAGATGAAAATTGTAGCAGCCTTCTTTGAACTTTCATGGAGCAAACGGCATTGTAACCTGAGAATTATAACCAAAATCAGAAAACTAGAAAAGATAAACCCAGAATCATTAATAGCTAAGCCACCCTAATCAAAAACATTTCTATTTTTTCCACCTAGTGGTAATATTTACAGCTTCAAATTAAATGATTTAAGAGATATAAAAAAACGTTATTTTCTTTTTGTTTTTTATCCGAACCAAACTCGATCAAATTTTGACACTTTTGAATTTGGATCCTTAGTTAGATCATACTGTCATGTGACATTTGAAGATTCATATCCTAACATTTATAATCCTTTATTAAAAAAAAAAACTGACATTTTTGTATTCCTATAAGAACAATAATTTTGTAATTTCTATGGAATCTATGCAGTGTATAGAATTTGATCGTTTTTACAAAGTCATTGCCAGTCTTTATACGGTGTAGAATTGGAAGATCTTAACAACTCATAGCCACATCTATGTAATAACTTTCTTGTTTTCCCATTAATAAGAAAAAAAAAATTGCCAAGTCAAACCATATATCAGTATGACCGAATCATGGCGCAATTTTTTTCTTTTTAATTTTTCTTTGATAGTTTAACTTCATTAACCAAGAAAATTAAAGTTTATGATTTTAGAAGATAAGACTATGCAATTGGATTCTTTGCTCCAAATTATTGCTGGTGCTGTCATGATGGTTCCAGGGCGGCTGCCAAGTTCTAAACAAGGATATCTGAAGTATCATTTCTTTTTTTTCATTTTTGCGTTTTGTCTTTGACTTACAAGTTGCTAAACTCTTCTCAAATGAAATTGATTATTGAAACTATCATCGCTTTATTAAAACAAATAAATTTGTTGCTAGGAAGTTTTCACATGGTGTCTTGTTTTTGTATGGTGTCATGTCTCTAGAGGGATCTAAAAACGGCATCAATGGCCTTTGTCTGGAAGCATATGTTTATACCTTCTTAATACCAACTCCCTCACGCCTTCAAATTTCATCCCATTTACGCATTTGTATTATAAATATATATACTCCTAATAGCCATTATTGCAATCACATAATTATTTTAATTATTATTGTTATCTAATCATCTTTCATCAACTACAATCCTCTCCTTTGCATGCACTCTTGTTCAGTGAGCCTTATGATTGCATTTTCACTTGTTTTGCACTTCTTTTGATGTTAAATAAGAATGAGACGATGAGACTACCCTTTTCAAATTTACAAAACTCCCTGCTTGTCCACCATATATGATAAAGTTGCATTTTGTTGGGAAGTGTCTATGAAAATGAATGAATATACATGGAAACCCAATTTTGAAGAGATAATCTTTTAAAAAAAATTAAACAATAAAATATCGTTAATTACAGTTTAAACTCTTATGTGACGAGCTCATTCACACAATGAACATTAACTTATTTGGTAAGCAAATTCCAAACTTATTCAGTGCCAATAGACTATGATAGTATGTGTTAACCAATTATAAACTTTTCCAGGAAAATAAGTTTTCTTATAAAAACATTTGCATGATGTTGAAACTCAATCCCAAGTTATTAACTCCACGACTATGAACTCAAATGGTGGGAAAAATAGTGCATTTAGACTGTCTGTCTGGAGTCTGGTTTAAAAGAATTTAGGGTTGACCCACCAAAATATCTTAGGAGAAATGGGTCTTGCTTTAATCCAAGAGTGTTTCAAGAGGATGGCCCCTCCTTATATGGCCTTCCAATTTCATCATATCCCAACAGAGCTCTTGCTTGTAATTAGGGGGAGAGGAGACCAAACGTCTACTCAGGTCTTTTTTTATTTGTTTATTTTTTTCTCTTCTTTCATCCCAAACCCCAATGGCATGGTCACAACCTTCGTCTACTCCACAATCATGGCTACAAATTGGCCTTTTTTGTGGTTGGTAATGGTATGGTATTGGCCTTTTTGAGATGATAGCATTATGGAAGCTTTCTTGCTTCCTGTTGGGCTCACCATTTTCCTCTCTTCATTTCAGAAAAGAAAAGCAGTAAGTAGGGACTGTTGGTGAACCACCATAAACGGACCCAGTCAAAAGAATTGATGTTGAAGTCCACCACTTTTGTTGACCTGATGGACCCCAAATCCCAATCCAGCAATACACGCTACGGATGATAAACACATGAGTTGCCCCTAACCCATTTTCTCTTTGAGTATTGGCTGTCATTTTCAGTTTCACTGTATTTCTTTTGCACTGCTTAAACATGTGATGGACTATTTTTTTAGGCAATCGGTGAAATAATCAATGGCTAGTTTTAGGCTAAAAGTAAGGTATGAGTTGACAGCCAATGTTAGACCTAAGACGCCAACTTCTTCCAAGCCCAAAGTCCAGAGGCGTTTCATCAATGACCTACTAGGCCCAAAAGACCAACAAAATGGCCTTTGTTTGTTGGCATAAGGTACACTCACTCAACCAGCTACCCTGACCCAAGGCTCCTCTGGTGTTGTCTTTAGAGGAGGCAGCAAAGAGTAGATGCATCTCCAATCTAATTGGAAGCTCCTTGGAAAATTTTTTTTCACTCTGATCTGTTCCTCTCTTTCTTGTACGGTTTGGTTTGCTTAGTTGAGCTATGTCGGCATCAAACAAAAGAAAAAGAAGAAAAGCAGGATTAAAGAATAAAAAGAAAGGAAAAAGTACATATAATTCAATAAAATATGAAATAAGAATGCAGCAGAAAGTAAAAAAGCATAAGCTTTGCTTCTTCTGTCAGCCGAGATTTCACTTCGATTCGATGCCTTCTTTTTACAAATTACTTCAATACGCATGCTCCGACATAACTCCCAAACATATTCTCCATTATTTTCACTTTACAAAAGCAACAAACGATGGTAGTAATTCCATTAACTCCATTAAACATCCATGACATATGGATATGAAATTTCATGTCTTTCTTCACGCTGAATGTAGAAATGCAGGCATCGATTCTAAGGCTTTGCTTCACGAACACTTCATCTACTGTTTGCTGCCTGTTGTAGACTTTCCTAGGAATAGGGGGTGGAGATGAGAACTTTGTTGTAGCCAAGCTAGGCCCTTATAAACAGCCTTAACTTACACATGATGCACTGCCGGACTACAACAATCAATCACTTCAAGCAAATCATTTCAAGGAAACCACTTTCATCATGCAAATGAAAGTCATGTCCAAGCTCAAAAAGTCAAAACCAAAATTTGAAGTTGCAATAATGATAAACATTAAGGATCCCAATAGAAATAGCGGAATGAGGTGTGCTCGATTCAATGTTTTCACAGGCACCTTTCATAGTTTCTCAAAGAGCTAATTACATTTTTTGCACTTAAATTTAAGAAAACTATATATATTAGTATCTAAAATATATATATAATTTACACTCCAAAATTTTAAATTATATATTATTTTAATTTAAAAACAATATCAATATTTTTTTAATAAAAATTAAAAAATATATATTTTTAACTAGCACCATAAAAATTATCTAAAATCATGCAAATGAAGTTTTTATAAAATATTTTATTTTTTGTTTAACAAATAACATATATAAAACAAAATTATATTAATTAGATACTATATAAACAAATTAAGTTAATAATATCAATATTTAAATTAAAATAATACATTATTTACAAATTCATGGTATAAATTGTATATTTTATTTTTGTCAGGTACCATTTTTTATGCTTTTTCAAAATTCAGTTACTAAAAGCGTAATTAATAGCTTTCTTGAACTATAATTAACGCCTTCTAAAACTATGCATGTTTTCTGAGAATTGCAACTCAAAATTTCCATATCTACGTAAGCTGCAACTCATTGTGAAGCTTTAGCCTACAACATATCAATTGATTACAATTTAAATGACATTCAACCTACATCAACTCATAAAAACTCAAGTATATAATGCTGTGAAGAATCTACAGAAACTGGAGAGTAAACTTCAATGGAGCATATCTTCTGCTGAAGTTACAAAACTTGCTTTGTCCTGGCCAAGTGAGAATGCGCGGTCCGTAACAAAGGTACCATATATTCTTCAAGTTAGCATGCAAGCTGCTCCAGTAAATACACTTGCCATCCGCTAGGGTATCTCAGATTAGCCCGGGCAGCCAAACCAACCGAAACACCAATTTGATATGGCAATCGAAAACTCCGAGGTTTGCACAGGCAACAGTTTTTCATTGACTCAGCATTCCTATAGTTCCTTCCTAGCTCATAACATGTACAAAACTATTATGGGCATAACAAATCCATTCTATTCATATTCTGAACCAAGATAAGGTCTGCTGCTCTTCTTACACCGACAAGAAAGAGTCTCAAGGTACAATTTTGGTTGCATTGTAGTCTTCATAATCCAACCAAAGTTATCATTTGGGATAAATTACCAGTCCAAAGGTTGAACTCGCACAACACGAGCAATAATGAACCAGTTATCCCTGCATTTCTATTTGTCTATTTGACAACATCGAAAACATTTAAATTGCAGTCATGTAAGTGATCACAACACCAACAAATGAATATAACAAGTAAAAAAAATCCATCACATCTCATTCAAGTTCATTTAAAATTCAAATGGTTGCAATATGCAAAATTAGAATATAAACAATCAGGTAACTCCCATAACCAAAGTTCAATGCCTGAGGGCGTTAACAATGTAATATTAATCTTCAGACAACAGCAAATGGCAGTACAAAGTACACTAAACGGGCATACTGTTGAAATTTCTATATAGCTTATGATTCAGAAAATTTTAACTATCAAAGACCGGACGCTAAAACATTTTAGAAGTTAATAAAAAAGAAAAGGGGAAAAATACTGTATTTCATTGCATCAAATTCCTAATAAACATAAGGATAATTTCTAAATCAATACAAACTTATGAATCAAGCAACAAAATTTTGAAACTTTTTTTTCACCACAACATGTAAAAACCGGGGAGAACAACAAGCCCTCCCTTCCATCATGTTCCCTTTATTCAAATGTATAAGATACAAAAATCTAATCCTTTTTCCTTTCGTACAAGAAAACTATCCACTCATCTTCTAAACATCCCATAAAAAAAAACCTAAACAAAAACAACTCACCTCCATTTCCGACATAGAAACTTTCATTCACGCAATAGCATGATTTCCTCTCAGAGTCTGAACCAAACTCGAAGCATACCGCCTTATCTTCTCATTCTCTTCATCCAGTAACCCCATACAAATCTCCAAAACCCCTTCGTTTCTCGCTTCAAAACAAAAACTTTCACTATAGTTACACAAACAATTCAAAGTAAATAACCCATATTGAACTCCTCTTGAACTCCCGTTCCTTAAAACCTTAACCAAAACTTTAACACACCCATTAAATTTTATCATCTCTTCTCTGCCTTCTTTACATTTCACCAATAATCCCAACACTTCAATAGCCCTTTCCAGCCCTGAATCCAATAACCCAATGAGTATCGGCACCGCCCCGCAATCTATAGCTCTTCTTCTGTTATCAGCAAATGAACAAATTGCGTAAAGAGCCGTTGCTGCCTCTTTCTTTTCCCTTCCTTTTCCTGCAATTAGAAGCCGAACTAATGCACGAATCGCATCTGGATATGCCCCGATTGTCGCTTTATTGACCTCAACAACGGCTAAGCTGGTTGTGATCGTTGCAGCTAGTGCTCTGCAATCGGGTGACCCGACACGTAAGACTTTGACGACTCGGTTAATTGCACCTTCAGCGACTAAACCCACTTTGTTATCATCTTCGAGACTTAGGTTGAGGAGTAAAGATAGTGCCTTTTCTTGTAAACTCGGATCGTCCGAGTCGACACACTTGAGAACGGCAGGGACTGCTCCCGACTCGGTTAGTTTCCGGCGAAGTGCTGAGTCACGCTTGGTGAGTCTGGATAGATGGGTGAGCGAGTCGAGCTTGGCTCCAACAGAGGATAATGGGGAAGTCAGAGCAGAGATGAGGGTTTGGGGTTGAGGACAAGTTTGTGCTTTCGAAGAGGTGACAAGGGTATAATTGGAAATCAAGGAGCGAAGGGCGTGGTTGGGTATAAGACAGGGGTGATCAGGTAAGGGAAGTTTGGTAATTGGACAGGTGCGGTGACCGGAGTCCAGCCACCGTTGGATTGAAACTCGGTCGAAGGTGTGACCCGATGAGAGGATAACCGGGTCGGACATTATCTCAAGAGATATTGGACACTTGAAATCGTCCGGAAACAGAGTCGCCATCACGTTTCCAACTCCGATAAAAGACTCAGCTTTTCTTTCTTTCCCTTCTCTCTCTCCCAACAGAGTTTTGAAAGGAGGGTTTAAGAGGCTTTTGGAAGCTCTGGAGAGGAGGAGGTTTCTTTTGTCTTTCACTTCAGTTCAGAGAGGGAGAACTTATAATGAAAAGGTCGTTTGAGTGACAAAATGACTACAATGCCCTGCTCATTCAGCTTTAATTTTCGGGACAGGCTCCGTGATTAGAAAGGGTATTAAGGACAATTGAATTTTGAAATTGCCATTTTCCATTTAATTAATGAATTTTTAAAGTTTTTTATGATCTTGCTTGTCTTATTATAAAAGGAGGATAAAGGAGGTTCAGTTTTGCTAGATCATATATTATTTTTAGGAAATAAAATTTAATAAGTTTAAATTTTAGATTATAATATTTATAATTTATTTTCTTTTATGTTTAAGTTATGATTTTTTTAAAAAATAATATTTAAAGATTTTGATCATAAGTTAAGGTAGAACAAATTTGTACCTTTCTTTTCTATTTATAGGTAACAATTTTTTTATAAAAAAGATAATTTTTAAAGATTTTGAAGATAAATTAAAATATAACACATTTATTATAAATAAATAAAAAATGTTCAATAGACAGTTGCCTATGAATATTAGTTAAAAATAGTTAAAATAATCAAAATATTCATTAATTATCAAGGTAAAAGGGTAAAAAAATGAATAAAAATTTAATAATTATTTAAATTTATGATATTTTATTATAATCAATTAAATTTTAAATTTTATATTTTATATCAATTAAGTTTTTAAATATTTATTTTTATTTAATTAAACCTTAAACATTTATTTTTATTTTAATTAAACTCTCAATTAAATAAAAATTGATGTTAACAATTAATTAACTTTGTTTAATAAACATTTAATTAGTAAAAATAGATATTTAAAAACTTAATTAATTATAATAAAAGGGTAGAATTTTAAATTTTTATTAAATATTTTTTAATCCTTTAACCATTAATCAAATTATATTTGATTCATAGTAAATTTTACAAATAGATTATTGAGATGGGAAAGTCATCATTCACTCTACTTTGTCACTAATGACAAGAGAAGCCATTATCCCGGGATCAACGCTTAGTAAGGGGCATATTCGTAAACTCATTTCAGATCCGTATTATAAAAACGTTGCTTCGGCTTTTAATAATTTGCACTGAAAGGAGAAAACTCAATGCTACCGTTACCGAGCAATGGCTCCACCAGTCTCCCTTAAAGTCAACTGTCCAACAGTCCAAATTTGTCGCTAAATCATATTAGGATGAAACGTGGCTTTATATACCAATAATAAGTTATCTAAAATTTTACTTTTAAATTTTTTCGTAAAAATCAAACTATCATTGACAATAAAATATTATATTCTTTCCAACTAAATTAATTCATGCGAGTATTGTCTTTACATTTTTTTCTTGCCAACATCAAGAGAACAAGCACAATAATCCATCGTCATGGACTCTCGGTTAACTCAGATATTCCTAGAGCATAAATCGGGCCATGTAAAAACCCCCCATACTCATAATAACAAAACAAGTTTAACTCTACTTAATGACTGTTTTATTTGGCCTAAGATTGTCCATAATTGCCCATCAACGTCTGTTTTGAGATATATTTCGAGTAAGTAATTAAGACAGGATTGGATCCTAAATTGTTGTTGCCAAGGATGTCTTTTGCTGAGAATGAAAAGGACAAATAAAACAACAGCGTGGGCAGTTGTACAAATTTGGGGGAGGGTTCCAAAATGAAGGCCAAAAATACATATTTGACAGTGTCAGGGCATCTTTTTGTTTTTTATAGCATAGACAGTAGAAATACAATGTATGATTGGAGGGGGATTGCCTTACAAACTTTGGAATCAAGTTCAGGGATAGCAAAATGAAGCACTGCTATTTACCGTATCTAGCGGCCGTGAACCATGGTGACCGTTACATCATTTACAGAACAAGTTCCTTCACTATTCCAGATCTCGTTGCCTTTGCAGGCTTTCTTCATTATAAATGCAGGTTGTTTCGGGGACGGTAGAGCCGTTTCGTTGGCCAACATAAACACGACTTCGGACATCATTGGTCGATCTGTTGCATGTTCTTGCACGCACAATAGCCCAATTTGAATGCATTTCAGTAATTCATCAGCAGGATATGAATCACCTAATGCTGAATCAACTACTTCCATGGCTTTGTCATCTTTCCATAAGTCCCAAACCTAATACAACTTTGCATCATCAATTGAATGGAAATTGTAATTTGATTGCTCAGAATTTGTGCTCAAAATTTGGTTACTTACATGACCAACCAGATTTGAAGAGGGACTATCAGGATAATAAATGCTGTTCTTTCTGCCAGTTATAATCTCTAACAGCAGGACTCCAAAGCTATATACATCAGATTTCATTGAAAAGTGGCCTTGCATTGCATACTCTGGCGACATGTAACCACTAAAATCATACAACAAAAAGGAAATGGTTAGAACTTGTTTGAAACTTGTAGCAGAATTTGTCTCCAAAGTTCCCATTTGCAATGCTTACTATGTTCCAACTACACGAATTGTATTTCCTTCAATTTGGTCTGCTCTGAATATTCTGGCCATACCAAAATCTGAAATTTTTGGATTCATTGAAGCATCTAGTAAGACATTGCTCGCCTTCAAATCTCTATGAATGATTCTTAACCTTGAATCTTGATGAAGATATAAGATTCCTCGAGCAACCCCACAAATAATTTCAAAACGTTTTCTCCAGTCCAACAATAATTTTTTTGATTCATCTGGATTCAAAGTCAATTTTTGAAATGAATCATCCATAACTTTAACTTAGTGTTTGGCATGAAAGAAAAATTACTCAACATTAAATGATGATATTTCTAACGGCATATAAGATAAAGACATACCAAAGATAATAGAATCCAAGCTTTTATTTGGTAAATATTCATAGATTAACATCTTCTCTTCACCCTCAATGCAACAACCTAGGATCCTGACAAGATTCCTGTGCTGAAGTTTTGAGATTAGCACAATTTCATTCTTAAACTCTTCTACTCCCTGCCCTGAGTACTTTGATAGTCTTTTCACTGCTATTTCTTTTCCATTGAAGAGCACACCCTGCAAACAGAAATTTCATTTTAAGAATGGATTAAATGGAGAAATAGCAGTTTCATTGCACGTGGACATATAGATGAGAATATGTCATATACTAGTGATTACTTTGTAAACAGGGCCGAATCCACCTTGTCCAAGTTTGTTATTAGAAGAGAAATTATTAGTGGCTTCAGCTATGATGCTCAAATCAAAGAATGGTAAATCTGCACTTCTTCTACTCTCATCAATCTCCTTTCCACCTAAAGAGTCTTCGAACAACGATGAACTTGTGGTAAAGGTCAAGGCAATTTTGCTTTGTCTTCTTTTTCCTGGTTTCAAACACATTACATATCATGATTAAGCCAATTGCTAATCTCTAAATGATATGTAGTCAATTTAGTTGCGAAATCTTTTTGGCATCATTAAAATGTTACATAAGTGGCTTAAAAAAAACAGTGGAAAGAATGTGGCACCTCTTCTCTGCTTTCTCACCAACCAATGTAAAAAGGCGACAACAATGAGAAACACTACAGCAGCAGAAACTATGAGAGCCGCAAGCACTCCCTTCTTTTGAACCAGACTTTTCTTTGTGTAGCGAGCTAACAATAGAAAGATATGGAAGAAACCAATTAATCATGAAAGTAATTTTCTATCAACTGATAAATTTATATTAACTAAAACAAGTCTGGCAGAAATGATGACAGAGGAACCTGGCTTGGCTACGTTCTACAGTTCTAGACTGAAGTAAAACTACAACCATTATGCAAAAGCAATTTCCTGGAAAATTTTATTAACAGTGGAATATCTGTTTATGGACCAGAAAGTTTACATCATTCAGAAGCTAATGTCTTTAAATTTTAATGATACGATAGTACCATCTTAGACAGGTTCAGCAACTTGCATATAGATATTAGCTTAAAGTAGATGATGGTTGCGAAACGGCAAATAAATGTAGGACGCATACCCAACTCATCTGCATCCACCCGAATGTATAGATCTTGTCCCGCATCTGCATATGTCCTTGCATCCACCAAATTCCCGTGCCAATTCAAGCAGCCAATCCCTCCCTTGCTCTCAGAGTATGCGCTAGAAAAAGCCACACAAGAACAATCCTTCCAGCACTTTTCCTTGCATTCTTTCAATCCCAAACTCATGTCTGCACGAGCCGCCGAAGTGTCGGGCACCTTCACATGTGCCATCTTCACGAATCCTTCTCCATTTCGACACGTGGAGACACCATGTTTCCTCACGCATCCTCCTGTCGCATCTTTAATGTACCATCCTTGGGGTGACTTCGGTTCGAAACCCGGGAAACATGTGCACTCGAAAGCATCTGAGTGATCTGGGTTACAGTAACCATTCGGCCCGCAATGTCCGTAAGAATCACACCGCTCCTTTGGGGCCGACCATAACTCAATCCAATGATGCTCTTGATTATTCCACAAAAATCTTTGTTGAATTCCTGTTTCGTTCGTCATCGTTCTCGTGATGATAGAGGCATTAGTTATCCCAAACGTGAATGACACTTCATCAGCAGTGTTGACAAAAGTAAAATTAATCATATGTTGCCTTGTCATAGTTGGTACACCACTCCATCTTTGCCCAGTCCATGTCCCGGCTCGCCACAAAGGAGCCGTGCCCTTGTACAGATAAAATTGAGGAAACCCACTCGGGTCGACCCTATAGCAACAGCTGCCAATTCCTGGATCGTCGGAAGACTTCCAAGACGTCAGGACACGGCTCAGACCAGTTCTGAAATTCAACCCAAGTTTCATATACGGAAGCAAAGTATTTGTGGGATAATCAAAACTCTGCCATAGCACCGCCCTTTTGGTATCATTCTGAAGCAAAACAAGATTTCCTGAATCTAAAAGTTGAGCAATAGAAATCCCGGTGCCTGTGACGGAGACGTTTGTAGACCAGACAGGAAGTGTTTGGTTTCTCTTGAACAGGGCAAGATTTCCTCGACTGTCTATTGAAAGGATTCCTGAGGAATCATTTATCGGATTTTCTCTGTTGGCCACCCAAACAACTGTCTTCTCTGGAACCTGATTATACCAGATGCCAACATATCGATTCATGGAACTGCCAGGGCTGAAAAATCCGAATGCAAAAATGTTGCCAGTAGAGACTATGACATCACCATCTTTGATGAAATGATCTATGGTAATGGTGTCAGTAGAAATGGAAAGGTGAGAAAGAAAGAAAAGAAGCAACGTTCTGACAAGCCATTTAACAGGATTCATGATTGGTTCAGTATAATTTGGGAGTTTGGAAGAAAGCCCTATTAATTTGCTGGAGCAGTTTAGACCTCATTAATAAGTGGATCCTTGCAAAGACTGTAAAATGACGGTCAATCTCAAGCATTGCTCTGACAAAGACACTTTTTCCTTTTAGTTTCGAAAACGAAGAGACAAAAAGATCTCGCTTGAATTTTTTTCTGTCGTGAAAATGGCTAGCTCCTCCAAAAAAATCCAATCCTGCTTGAGGAATTAGTGCCACGCAAGGAGTCATACATCATAATTCCTCTGCAACGGGGGGTATAAGGTATTGGTTTTGAGTCATTTTACTGCATGCCGTAAGGCGTGGAAAACCTAAGCACCTAAAGTCTGAAATCCTTAATTTCCGGGGAAATTTTGGACCATCAAAAATAAAAGACAGCCAACCATGCACGAAGGAAATTGTAAAAGCAAATAAAACCCAATGGCTTTCAATTTACTCAAATCAGAGCAATTAAACTAATCAGCTCTGAGGAATTTTCATCCTAATGCTGATAGTTAAATTCAGTTAATTCATTTGAAGACTATTTGTGACATAAGTTTTAACTAGTAATCGACAATTATCCCTAATCTGCAAATAGGATATTTCAAGTTTGGAATCTTTTTTTCAATTGATGTACAATGGTTTCTACATATTATTTTGGGTGCAGTACAATATAACAAATGGAGTCTTGGATTCTGGAGTGACCCAGAGCCCAAACTTTTATTCAATTGGGTTTGTTACGATGGGATTCTTGGGCCAAGGCAAAAGCCCATTTTGTTTTCGCATCGATGGTAGAAAAATGAAATGTCATTGGATTCGACGAACCTCACTAAGGTGAGTATGTAACTCCGTAACGTCACCTGATTCGAAATTAGTTTCCCAACAGATGATGCATCTGTCACTGAAAGACACTTTTGCATAAAACACAGGTCTTCCAGGCTGAGGTAATGACAATCCCACATCAGTAGCGCAGTTTACATCACTGGCATATCGTCTGGCCTCTGCTGGACACAAATGAGCCCCACCTATATGCATCCTAGTGCTTCATGCTCTGGAAACTCTTGTTCCATCAATTCATCCATTAATTCCAAGGCTTTCTTATCATTCCACAATTACCGGGCCTAATCAAAGTCCTTGTTAAGTTAGAGTATGTCTACAGAAAATGAACAAATAAGAATTGATTTCACTGTATATACCCACATGCCCCAGAAGGTTTAGTTTGTGGTCAGGATGAAAAAAAAAACCCCGATTCTTTTTTCCACTCACCATCTCCAACAATATGATGCCAAAGGCCAAAGCTGAAGACATCCGATTTCAAAGAAAAGTGTCCATCTATTGCAAACTATGGATAAAAAAAATTGACATTGTTGGTCAGCAACTTCTGCATTTTTTTTTGTCCGCTATTGGTGGAAGATCAGTTATTAATAATTAACTGCAAGAATTTATAGTTGCCTAGCCGAATGAACATTCAATCATTTTTTAAAAATAATGTTGTCATTGACATTTGAAAATAACAATGTACTTTTTTCCCTCCTTGCAATCTTGCAGCTGAAATGAAGGATTATTCTCAATTCCCATGATTCATTGGTGGCTTATATAATTGGGTTTTTGAGAGTTAATTGCCTAAAACAGTGAATAAAAATTCCATTGATATCTGTTGGTTGGCATTTGAAAAGTCCTGGTAGTATAAATAAATGGTGGAAAAAATACCAAGGGGAAAAGGTAAAAAAAAGTCACCCATATAATAGTACTTATAGAAAGCTTGCCTACATGCTCTCTGCAGTGATTCGATCCTGCAAGACAATATTTATATCTCTATTAGAGCAGGAAGGTTAACAATCTCACTATAAAGCATTCAAAATTACACTGGCCACTGGTTGGCACTTGGCATAAATTTTGAGCTTTTTGCCTGACCATGGAGCAAAGATCACTACACTCAACGGCGGATCATAATGAAAACCAGAGGGGGCCTTGCCCCCCAAATGTTTGAAACCTCCTTTAATATATATATTTGCATTGAATACATTTAAATTGACCCTCTAACAAAAAATGTTAATTTTATTATTTTTTGTATTTTATAAATTAAATTTATGTATTGTAATTTAAGAAATATTTAAATCACATTTATATTTATTTATTTATTATATCTAACAATTACTACTTATAAATCCTCACATTTATATTTATTAACAACTCCTTTTCTTCGTATATTTTTTATTTTTATTTTTATAACTTTAGATTTCTATCACATATTGTAATTTTTTTTTTCAACAAAAAGATCATATTTGAACTACTCTACAAAAGAACAGAAAAATACCAAACTTTTAATCTTAAAATTTCTTCTTCATTTTTTTAGAAGTATATTTAGTTTTTTTGTTTTTATAAAATCTTTAATAATTGATTTATTCATACTTTTTTATTTCACTTTTAAATTGTCAAAAAAATAAAAAAATCTATATAATTAGTAATTCAACTGTTAATTGTAAATTATGTTATTATTAAAAATATAATATTATCATAATAATGTTTTTGTTTTATAATTTTATGCTCTTGTCACGTTTTTATTAGTATATTGTTTCTCTCTCTCTCTCTATATATATATATTAATAAGTATGATAAAATACAATTTAAAAAATAAAATATATTATATATTATTAGTTGGCCTTTTCTAAATTATATGTCAAAAACTGTCACTGACTACACTTTTACGGCCTGAAAGCTATAAAGGTATTAATAGCCGAATTATGAAACTGCTAGATCAAGCATAGAATTAAGACATATACATATGCACTATATCTCAAAAACTTGCTCTTAATCATCGGCCATCAACAATGGTTATGGTCACCTTGTTAATAGAACATTGGTTTGGATCGCTTTGAGGGGATATTGCTTCTGATGCAATCGGTCGTGCGGTGAAAGCAGGCTGTTTCGGAGTTGGAAGATCAACAATTTCACTATTAAGCATCGAAATAACAGTAGATACAGTTGGTCTATCTTCTGCAAATTCTTGCACGCACAACAATCCCACATGTATGCATCTCAAAATTTCACTCCGATTGCATGGATCAGAAAGCACTGGGTCTATTAAGGCCAAAACGTTGTCTTCATTCCATAACTTCCATACCTAAATAATGATTGCAAATTTTAGCTTGATAAAGGAATCATCAAATATTAATGAAAATTAAATCTTATATAATGGAACCATAAGTAAGGCTGTTTGTCAAGTAAACTTACATATCCCAAAAGGCTAATAGAATGTTCATGGTCATAAAAGCCTGTGTTTTTTCTCCCACTGACTATCTCCAATAGCAAGACTCCATAGCTGAACACATCAGATTTTTCTGAAAATCTCCCTTGCATTGCATATTCAGGCGACATGTATCCGCTGCATTTTAACATAAAAAACAGAAGCACATATTCTTAAGCACATGCATAGATATGGTAGCATTGTAGCATAATGTATATGGTGAAAGAGAAATCTACTTACTAGGTTCCTACAACCCTTGTAGTTTTGGCTTGATTTTTATCTCCTCCAAAAATCCTAGCCATCCCAAAATCCGAGATTTTTGGATTTAGCTCTTTATCTAATAAGATGTTACTAGCCTTTAGATCTCTATGAATAATCTTCAATCTAGAATCTCTATGAAGATAAAGGAGACCTCGACTAATTCCTTCAATAATGTTGAAGCGTTTTCTCCAATTTAGAATTCCTTTCTGGACTGGATCTATCTCATGTATCAGAAAAAGAAAAAATGAACAGTGTGAGATCAATGAAACTAGAAACATGGTCTTGACCAAAAAAAAAAACTAGAAACTCGGTTAACAAATTTACAGTTAATGTTGATAAAACAAGTCAATGCTATAACAATGGAGTGTCTCATATTACAAAATTATAAGGGAAAAAGAGATTGTAGTTGCTTGGTTCCTTTAAGATTATGTTAGATTATGAGATATTTTAGATACTCTAAAGTCTGAACAAGGGACAATATTTCTTTTTATAATCTGTCAACTGTATCTTTGGTTAGTAAGTTTAGTTATAAAGTAGATATTGTCCTTATTTCACGGAGATATGTCTTGAATACTCTGCACCTGATGTATTTTGTATATAGAGCAGAAAAATGAATGAATGCAGTGTGTTTTCTGCTGTAACTCCTCTGTTCTTTCTTTCTTTCTTTCCCATTTTCCATTTTCATGATACTACAACATATTCTGATTAAAGTTAATTTGGATGGTATAACCAACTTATATTGGAAATGATATAATGCATGCATTGGTTCTTAGCAAAACGATAGATAAGGTATTAGCATGATCTACCAAAGAGAAAAGCATCCAAGCTTTTGTTCGGCATATACTCGTATACCAGCATCTTCTCTTCTCCTTCAACACAACAGCCCAGTAATCTAACAAGATTTCGATGTTGGAGCTTAGAAATCAGCATCACCTCATTCATAAACTCTTCTAACCCTTGGCCTGACGCTCTTGACAATCTCTTCACTGCTACTTCCTTTCCGTCTTGTAATATTCCCTATACAAGTAAAAGAATTAGTAGTTTGTAGTAATGTCATCTGATGGACTGTTAGGATTTGCTGAGAATGGCTAATTACCCTGTATACTGGACCGAAACCACCCTGTCCCAACTTTTTGGTAAGATGAAAACTACTTGTTGCAGTTGCTAGTTCCCCAAATTTGAGTAGTGGTAGTTGCTGGAGTTTAACTTCATCAAACTTGTCTTCAACGCTACTAGAAAATTTTTTGTATGCTTTTTCTCCATGGACTAGCAGCATTTCTTTGCTTTTTTTTTTCTTTGCTGAAAAAAATAATGTAGAAAGTAATGGATTGATAGTTACTAACATACCTATGAATCTGTATTGATTTCCCACTAAACTGTATTGGTATTACCTCTTTGTTTAGCCATCCACCTCCAAAAGAAAAACGTAGAGATGGTAATGATGATTATTCCCAGGATCACTGGTATTACAATAATGACTATACTATTGTGTTTCGTTTTATCTACAAATTAAAATCAGTGAGTAATTAGTTTTATCTACATGGTCAAAACAGAAAAGAGCAAATCTGCAGCATTAAAAGTAGATAATTTGAACAATTGAACATACATCATATAGAAATTAACACAATTTACCAAGTTCAGAGGATGCCACACGAATGTAAAGATCTATTCCCCCAGTGGAGAATTGCTGTATGTCAATTAAATTTCCGCTCCATAACATGCAGCCAATGCCCGCATCATATGCATAAGCCATACAGGAACAATTATTCAAGCACTGATCTCCGCATTTATCTTCAAGGACAGATGACCGCTCTGCAAAGGCTGGTACTTTCATCATCTGTAGCTTCAGAAATCCATCTATTTTGCCTTCTTCACTGCCATTGTTTACTTTTTCACACTGTAATGGTGTACTCCTAACACATCCACTAGTCCAATTCTTGCTGTCCCATTCCTCTTTAATCTTGGGCTCAAACCCTCTCAAACAACTGCAAATTGATGGTTTCTGTGAATCACAGCTTCCAAATGCTCCACACTTGCCATAAACATCACAATCAGTTTCTAAACTAGACCATTCTACGTCCCACTTCCCCTTCCCATCATCCCAATATAGTTCCATTAATTTCCCTTGAGAATCCAATGCAAAGTATGATAAATAAGACGCATTGGCAAAAGCATAAATAAGATAAGATGTTACTTGGTCATCTACAAGATTAAATCCATCTAGATAAATAGAAGACATTCTTGGTACTCCAATAAAGGTCAGACCATTCCATGGACCACTCCGCCAATACGGCTGAGTGCTATTCCAAATGAAGGCTTCAGGAATGTTGAGAGGATTGATACCAGTTAAGAAGTTACCATCAGATGGATCAGAAGGGCTTTTCCAGGATGTCAGTTGCACTTTCTCACCTGTTCTTACATCAACACCGAGTTTCATGATAGGCACGAACGCATTAGAAGGTTGTTTAAAACTCCTCCACTTGCTTGTTGTAGATGCATTATCCCGCAAGACAAGGTCTCCAGAGTCCAAAAGCTGTGCACTTGAATTAGCAACTGGATTTGTAACATTTGATGACCAAAGAGTCTCCTCCTGTCCATTCAAAACAACAAGATTGCCATCCTCAGACACGGATAAAACTCCAGAGGAGTCTTTAACAGGCTTGTTTCTGTTTGCTACCCATATCACAGTTTGTACAGGAATCTGATTGTACCATATCCCTACATACCGATCAGTAGAATTATCAGGGCTGAAGAATCCCAATCGAAAATTTCCACCGTTGGAGACTAAATATTCAGGATCTTTGATGGATTTGGATGATGTGATAGTGTCTAAGCTAGCCCCAAACTGGGGGTAAAACGAAGATAGTAAGAGCAGAGGTAATAAAAATGAGTTGCTAATCCTTGTTCCCATGTCCGAAATTTTCAATTCTCTTGAGTTTGCATTGCAGGACATGGAAGGACTTGTAAGCTGAATTATTTCTCCTTATTCTCCTTTGATCAGTGATGCTGAGTTTTCAATATGAGCTATTTTTTATGGTTTTAACTTATGGCTATCTGAATTGACTTATTCTCCAAAGAACACCAATTTTGAAATAAATCAAGTTAAATGTTAGCACAGCATACAATTAATGGCATAACCAGACATTTGTGTTAGATGAATAATATAATCTTTTTTATTTATAATATTGATAAAATTAAATATAAAAAAATCTTATAATATAATATAAGTAAATAGATGATATATTGAAGAGCAAGTCAATTACATGAGCATGAGCTAGACCTTAGTATTTTTTATTAAAACTTATATATATCTTCTAGACCATTTTCATATACACAATGTTATGCCGCCCTATCTTCTCCGGTTTAGGCGTCATTTCATTCCACACTCTTGTAGTTGAATAACAAATTTCCTGAGACAGGTCAACTCCATTGGCTCGGTAAATGAGTCGTTGTATAGTTTACAATTTTATATATATAAATATAATATAATATATATATATATATACAAGAAAAGATATAATTTTGTTTAACTCATTAAATTAATCTCATTTAGTGCTTTGTAAACGGTGCCTAACTTTTAAATCACTTTTAATCATATGTATTCATGCTATATTAAGATTTGTTGCAAAAGTACTTTATATACATATATGAAAATTTTTAAATAACTAAATTAAGTGAGTGACTAACAAAAATACTCAATATATATTTCTCATACAAAGTTCATACAATATCATAAGTTTAAACTTGTCAATTTGAAATACGATATAGTGATACAACACAAATTGAAAATGATACGACTTAACATTTTAATAATAATTATATATAAGTTTAACAAAATAAAAAATATATATTATATTTTTATTGATACAAATTGTAACATATAATTTTCGTATAAAATAATATACGAATATACAAATTTTAATATTTTACGTGATGAGAATGCACGAATTGTTAGGTCTGTATAAATTAATACATATTGTTAGGCAAAAAGAGTATCAATATTTATTGTAGGCATATGGTATGATATGAGAACTTTGATAGTATTTTTTATACAATATTTAATAGAAAAACATTTATGGTAGGCAACATACATACATACATATAGAATGTATCATATTCAAATTGTTAGGCAAAACAGAGAAAATCAACACTCCATGATAAAAGATCTTCAAATTAATTGGGACATTGTTTCACCATTATTTCTCCAACTATATGAGAAGTTGAAGGTACCAAATTGTGAAAAATATACATCAATTGTAAAAAAATGAAATATGATATTGTTGAATCTAAATTACAAAAAAAAAAAGAAATATTAGGATTATAAATAAAATAAATTAATTTATATAAAATCAAAAATAAATATAAAATATAGAAGAAAGGAAAAAAATGAATAAATTTAACCTTACTTAAATGGGGAAAGGTTACTTTAGTCAATAATTATCTAAATTATCAGTGAATTCAAGTACAAAAGTAATTAACTTTTGTTTTATGCATGTAATGAGCCTTTAAATGCTATTGGCACCCGTTAGCATTTGCTATTCAATAATTTTCATTCACTTAAAATATTCAACAATTCATTTCAAAAAAAAAAAATTCAACAATTAAATAAAAGTAAATTCATTTACTTAATGTATTCATTCAACAATTAAATAAAAGACAAATTGCTAATAACTTTGTGGAAGGTGTAAAGAATGACTTTTATAAATAACAATCCCTACTTAATATTTTGATAGAATGTTTAACTTTTAATTGTAATGAATAAATTTTAATTTTTGATAATTAAGAGTTAATTTTATTAATAATCTTTTTAAAACCTAAATTTTATTAATAATTTTAATATATATATGACTCAATTAATTTTAAAAAATCATGTAATTCCCTACCTAAATGATAATTGAACTAAACTTTTACTAAAGCCTATTAGTTTATTAAGAGATTAATTACTAATAAAAGTGGCAGAAGCATTTTAGGAAAGAAAACCTTGTTATCGTAAAAAAGAAAAGAAAAGTAGAGCTCTTCTTCCTCATCTTCCTTAGGGTCAGAGAGCATGAAAAATCTAGTTGAAAATTTAAAATTTGAGGTTATAATCCAGTTAATTTCCTAAAGGTGAGTATATGCCATCTTTTTATTTAAGAAATATATCATGTTGGTTACTATTATTGGAGTTAAAGTTCTGAGAGAAAAATCAACAAAAATTATGATATCTTTCATTAATCTTCATTATCGATTTGGGTAAATTATTGGGTTTTATTTACTTTATGTTTTTAAGATTTAATGATAATTATTAAGTGAATTTTAAAGGTTAAAAGTGGAAATTTGAATTTTTAAAGGTTAGAGAAATTCTATTTCTGAATAAAATGCTATAATCTACAATAGTGGATTAAAATAATATTTGATATCAAGGGATTAGATATTACTATGACTATTATATATCGTTTGAAAGAATGTTGAATCTACTTTTTAATGAAATAAACGAAAGTCAAATTTGAGCTTTTTATGAAGAGTTGTCTAATTTTTATTTAAGGATATGTAAGCTATATGGTAATATCATTAGGGTTGAATTATGAAAATTGTTTTAAATTTTATACAAGGAATTAAAAATTGTGCCATACATGTTTGAAAAAAGGTTTATTGAGTCTACTTTCTAACAAAATAAGCATAATTGAATTTAGAGTCTCCTATGAATAAATATATAATTTTTATTAGAAGGTATATGTGTTATCTAGCAGCAGTATATGATTGGATTGCAAAATTTATTATAATTAATCTACAAGGAATTACGAGATAGGCCATATACAAGCTTATCAAGTCTAGTTTCTAACTTATTAAAGAGATTTTAATTCTGATATGGATATGTTGAGTTATGGTCGTTTAATGAAATGATGCCAGACTATCAATATTAATTAATTAAGTTAACTTTTGTATAACTTAATTGTTTTAGTATGTATGGTCTCAAAAAAAATTGATTAATTTCTGATGTGTTTAAATGATCTTGAATAGGTTATTAATTATTTTAGGAGAAAAACTACGTGATGGAATCGAAATGAGATATATAGAATCTCACACACTTTACTTGTTTTCGAACCTATATATATTTCTAAATGAGTAAATGTTTTATTTTTTTATTTTCGATATATGAAAATAGGATTAAACATATGATTATTTAGTGTTTTTGCTATGTAAATAATGCATCATGCTTATGAATGAATGACTAAATAATTTATGTTTAAGGAATCATTTCATGATAGCTATATTTTTACATATTTGAAAAGTGGGATTATCGATATCAGGACTAATTATATGGCCTTAGCTAATGAGTAATAGTAGTTAACATAGACATGATTGTACGGCTCTATTAATGGGTTATAATAGTTAGTGTAAAACCTTAGTTAGCGGGTTATAATAATTAGCAATGATCATAAGGATAAAATTGTTGATACGGTCAATGTCACGGATTATGGTAGTGATCGTAACTAATGATAAACTAATAATAATGATGATTTATGATGATGATTTTTTTAAGATTGATCCATGATTTGTATATAAAAATAATTTAGGAGGATTTCTAAAGATTGATTAATGGTTTAGTTTGATTACGATATTCAAATAATAGCATATGTTGTAATGATTTAAGAATTGACATGTTTTGATGTTGATTCATAATTTACAAAATGTTTTACATAATAATGATTTTTAAAATGTTATGACATTATGATTTAATGACTGTTTTTGAATGATCTATATGATTTATATGAAAACGATGCTTGATTTGGTAAGGTATGTGAGCTTATACTTATTAAGTTGTAGTTTACTCATTTTCCTTTTTCTTTCTCAGATGAGTCCCTTTTTCTTTCTCCTTATAAATGAGTAAATGATAAGTTTGATTAGTTTTGTGAGAAGCTAGAAGATCAAAATGAAAAAAAATACTTAGTCATCAGAGACAATATTAACCAATGAGACATTATTAATAGTTTTGTATTTTATATAATTTGTATTTAGATATATAAAGATACATCATTAGTTGAATTAAAGATATTGATTTTACTTGGTAGATTATTTTATTGAAGAATTTTAGAATGGTTAAAAAAGAAGATTTCATATTACTTTTTGAATTTTACTTCAAGGTAAAATGATTATATTGCATTTTAGTTTCGGGGTATGACAAATCAACAACTTAATACTTATTTAAAATTTGAAATGATTGAATATAACCAAAATTTGAATTGAAAAAGTAACCCAATTAAAATCTAATATTTTTTATTTAAACTTTTTCACTTCATTTTCAATGTCTCATTTTTATGATCCTTGTGGTAAGTAGCTAATTAAATTTTAAGAATATTTTTAAATTTAAATTGCACTCATAAGTAATTGAATATAATTCTTTTTTATTTGTATTTAAGGTGATTGAATATAAATTTTTAAACAAAGAGAAACATGTACCAATTATTTATTCAAATTTGTTTAGGTGCATCATGAATAATTGAGTATGTTATAAATAAAAGTTAAGGATAAAACTTGACTCAACCTAATTGATTCTTGATTTTAAGCCTAAAACTCCACTTAAAATTATGAAAAAATTTTCAAAATTATTGAAATAA